GCCCTCGCACTACAAAAGAGTGTGTTGGAATGAGCAACCATATTTTAAATGAACAATGCTTTGTCCCTCTGTTTACATGTGAAGCGTGCTGTGCTGCCGCCTAAGCTGAATCCTTGTCACGGTTATCCAGGCTCATTTGCATCTGCATTTCTGACCACGTCTGGCTGAACAAGTGACGAGAGAGCCATGCATGTACGGCAGGGCAAAGCGCTGAGCATTTACTCTAGCGTCTGAATGTGCTGGCTCCAGTCCGACCAACCACACTTATAGCCTCCCAACCCCAGTTTCCTGTCTGAAGCCATTTATTTTGTTTACCACCAACCAGAGCTGTCCCTTCAATAGTCTTGTCCACTTTCCACTGAAAAGGGCACAAAACCCATAAGGCGACACCTTACACAACATCAAATTTACAGTCATACAGGAGGTATGCAGAGGGAAGACACAGGTCTTGTCACCAAAGGTGGTGTTAAGACATTTAGGAACTGCCAACTGTGCTCCAATGATGAGATTTGACAGGTGCCAATGGTGCTACCATAATTTGAAATGGCAATGTGCAATGTGCAAAATGACCACAAATATCTTTTGGCAAAAGGAAATCGAAATGTAACAAGGTATTAGTAAAAGTATCATGACCTAGAAGATTTGTTAAGACATTGTTTGCAATATCAAAGCTATATCTAGAGCGTCGTCAGATCGCAATCACATTTGATATTTACAATTGACTCCCACATTTAAAAACTGTGTTATGTTGTGGAGCCAATTTGATTGCTACAGCATTTCCGGCACTCACATGGTGATAGCCGTTGCATGGAAAATTGCAGCAGGCACAGTAGGATTAGCTACAGGATTGCCCAGACATCACAAAAATACCACAGGGGGAGATTACACATATCTATCCACCACACTTCTTTCATCTTGTGTTTGTGTGCCGAGTGTGTGACTGTGAGTTAAAATTTAAAAAAAGAGAAGAAAATAAAGCTTGTGGTTACGTGTGGCCCACAACCCACATGTTAGGCCATTCAAACTAAACTGCTTTTTTTCCTCTTCACTTTCTTTATCCTTCTTTCCTTGACAGGACCTTAGGCTATACTCGTGGATCCCACAGCAGCCCTGCTGTGAGGAAAATTGATGCACTCTTTGATTGACCGTGGACAGGTAATCGAATTAAGAAATGCTCCTTGTCTGCCAACCCTTCAGAGGTGAATGAGTAAGTGAAAGATACTCATGTGTACGCACAACAAGGTACAGTAGAGTAAACAGACGCATACAGTAATCCCACACTGGGGCTGCTCATTTGCATGAAAACCGGTGCAATTGTTGCGACATTCATACAACAAGAAAATGGACATGTGGCTGGTTTGTCAACAGTGTGTTTAACTCCTTCTTGTGTACGTTAACCTCTTTTAGGAGTAAAAATGTCCCTTTGTTTATATGTAGAGTTGCAGCTGTGCTAGTGGAATTTCTTCCCAGATTAGGACACTTAAAATTAGCCTCAAATTTCACAGCCATGCAAAAATTAATAGTTATTAAATTTCTTTCATTTCAATACCCCCTCTTATTATTCAGTGTATATGTACAGCTGCCACACCTGTATGTTTTATTGGTCTATGCAATCGATATTGTGTGGCCATTTTACACACTTCTCAAACTATTTGCTTTGGTCATACACAACAAGTGGTTATAAACAGTGTGGTGATCTTTAATCAGCTTCAAAATAGTGTTTATATAAATCTACCAACAACAAAATGTATGAAGTTCCTAAGAACCAATAGCTAGATTCATCACATGTTCAATATCATTTTAAAACAGTTCCAAGAAAAAAGAAGTTGGTAAACTTGCTTTGATTCAGGTCACAGATACAAAATCACATCACATTATATAAGAAAAGTTAATAGTACTATTCTGATACTGTGGATCCATTTTGGCTGACACAGCACTTCACCTCAAGAGGCAACTGTTGTCAACCTGACTGGCAGGTTATACAGTTGAAGCTGGTTCTCAGCTGAGGTTAAGGTTGGTGTCAGAGTGATAGCTCCGTGCTGTGATGGTCAACAGTAGATAAACAGCACACACAGTCACCTATCAGCTTGTTTCATTAACAGACCCCGGGCAGTATCAGTGCTGGATCTAGGTATATGCTCAGATGATGGATAAAGCACGGATGGCGGAGTACATTCCATCATATGGATGGTAGATGCTTGTGTGACGACTGGGCGTCCCTTTGCCTTCCCAGCCCCTTTTGTATGAGTCCAGGCATAGGATGACAAAGGGAAGTCCATAGGTCACATGACTGGATGATGAACAAGGAGGAAGTACATTTGTATATCCTAACAACCCCAGGGAGATTTCCTAAATACCTAGAGACAGTGGGTCAGGAGGAATACGGTTGTGGTTCATCCTGAGTGACAGTCCGTATCAGTGAACATCAGAGGTCTGACAGTGAAAAAAAATGGTGTTGACAAAAGTAAGATTTGATTCATGATATTGCTCTCGACACTTGTAACCATGTATCCATTCCAAACATCTATCTCCTGACACCCTCAGTTTTCACATAAGCATTGATGTTAAAATGTGTGCATTCATGTCACCCAAACCCTGAGGAAATTATTATAAAATGCCTTTATGTTGACAACAAAAGACGATAATAACAAATCATGGCCCCACCCAAACAAAATTTCTCTGACTTAGGTTTGTTCCCAGCACGTTCTACACAATGAGAGGCTGTTGAGAAATGTATTTAAAGGGTTTCAGCGAGGTTTGTGTGTGCTTGTGTCGTTGTTTGTGACCGTGTGTGAGAGAGAGAGAATGAGAGAGAGAGAGAGAGAGAATGAGAGAGAAAAAGACAGAGAAATCCATTTGGTTTCTAGCTAAGGTATAATGTGGAAATTGAAAACGGAGAAATACAATGTGACAAGGACTCAACTGTGCATGAACACTCCACACAAAGGCCAGTTTGTGCATGTGCAGACACAAATAAACATAAATATACAGTGCACGCGATACATAAACACCTGCGTCTCGCACAAACAAGAATTCAAATAGTCTTGCTGCCTTTTTATGAGCAAAATATGCCTTTGATGCAATAATTCTTAAAATAAAGACGTGGAGAGGTGCACAAAAATACATCACAGAGAGAGATTCTTTCGAATTTCAAGAGTAGTGTGTAATAATACCGTGTCTGTCAAAATATACAAAATACACAAAAAATGTGGCCGTCCCGACATATTAAAATCATCCAGTGTACCATGTTCTGATTTGTACTATCAAGTATCAAATAAAGATATAAATACCATTTAAAATACAAACATCTGATGCACCTTTCATTCCTTTAGGTGTGTTTACATAATACAACTTAATGTAGTTGTTGTGTCTGCAGTACAGTATATTTGTACATGTGCAGTTGTCGACCGTGTGCTGATCAGTATGTCTGTGTTTGTTACATTTGTTAGCTTTGTGCAGCACCCCAGAACAAGGAGACAAGGATTATCAAGCAGGTTCATTTGAGGAAAGAGTTCATCTGAGCTGTCAGGAAGCTTTGAAAGAAAAAATAAACCCCTCCGGAAGGGAGGGACGGTTTCAAGGGCCGATCGAGTTATATCACAGCTGGCTAAAAATACGCTGTCTGACAGCATGTGTTCGGTATAAAGCAGGTAATGATAATTTTAGTCCGTTTGCAGCTATAACATAGAGTTTGAACCCAATTAACCCACAGTGGTGCCATCAATAAAAACAAGGATTACAGTCTCATTATGCTATTATCACGCACTGTGACTAAAACAACCCTTCCTTTAATTAAGGGTAAGTAGGGCTGTAGCTATTACAGATTAGTACAGAATCCTGATATTAAACGGGCACCGGTGCTAAATTATTAAAGAACGGAGAATTGATAAGCTTCGACGTTATTGGTTCTTATATTGGTACTTTTAAACGTGTTGGTGTAATTTATTAGCACACTGCAGCATCTCTTCTGCTCCCTCGGCTGAGTTTCTTCAACTACACACTAACACAATAAAACACATGCAAGCACACACATGGAGTGAAGTCAGCAAACAGCAGATCGGTTCAAAGTAAACCAGTTGACTGGAAGATGACTCAAAGTTTACTTGAGTAATCCCAACTACAATCGTCATCGTAAGTGTAAAACCTTTGTGAGTAAAAAGCCAATAGTTTATCACTACATCTGCTCAACAAGCATAGACATGTAAATAAAAGCAATACCTATGTCAATCAACTCTGTCCGCAGTCTCATCCTCCGCCGCTGTTTTACACAACCACAGTGCACTAGCTTGGTTAATAGTGAATTGTTACAAACAAGCTATATCATAAGCTGTCTGTATGTAGTGTAACTGTTTGCCACAAATCTTAAAATTCCTGAAAGATGTTCTGCTTTCTGAGACAAAGCGGCCCTGTTTCTTTACTAACGGTACCTGCAGGCAGTAAATCACATCAGCAGACGGACGAGGACAGAGGACATGAGGAACGACTGGTACTGAAGTCTGTGTTTCTCCTTCTTTATGAACTTCACTCGGTATTGTGACGTCGGGGATATTATTTATTTTCTTGAGGCTATATGATTAGTTGTGTGTGTGTGGCTCATCTCGCATTCAGCTGCGGCAAACTGCATACTTTCTTGGACAACCAGTTGTGGCTTCATGCTTAAGGACCTCTTGTGGTTGCTGTGACTCACAGTTTCTCAAAACACCTTCTTTTAACCGTTTTATACTGCCATTGACTGCCTGCTATCTCCTCACTCACTACTCCTAACCGGCACCCCGGCCAGTAGGGGCCGCTAGCGATAACACAGCTGAGGGCACAGTGGGGTGGAAACAGTTTGCACCTTGTTAATGTTTTGGACGGTGTGTTTGGCTTACAGCTAGTGGAACTACCAGTACACTGCTGTACTGGTGAGTTTACCTTTCTGTTTTGGCCCCATTGTATGAAGTGTATCATACATCAACTTCAAGCCCATTGCTTCTTGTATAATGGTAAATTCCACTCACGTGTGTTGATCTTCTGCAAGGAGATGTGTTTCTCAAGCTGACGTCGCAGTTTGACCTCAGCGCCGTACTTTCCCGTGGTGCCATTGTCTGCCAGGATGAAGTGGGAGTGGAGACTGTTTAGAACCGTCAACTTGCTCATGGGGTTGGACATGGTCTGGTATGGACGCACCACCTGTCCGGGAAATTAGGAAATTCAACAGTTACACAAACATCTGGGAAGGGGTATGCGACAACTTGACAAAGGAAAATGTTTGGTTTACTGACAACAAAGGCATGTTTTCTTAGCATCATTTATGTTACCCAAGTATAGACAGAAAGTCAGATGGGAAAAAATTATAGAATGAGTTTTAATTAACTAAAGAAGCAGATTTTAATGGCAAGCCTATGTTACAAACTAAGGCACCGTTTGAAAGGCATAAGCATCTACCAAGCAGAGAGACACTAAGAAGGAGACGGTACTGGTTGAACAATGGGAAACATTGGATTCGCCCTTTCGGGGCTTGACCCATTCTTAGGACTAAAAGTCAGAATGTTTTTAAAATCAGACATCAACATTTAAGGAGAGAGATTTTGTCAGGGTGATGAAAGATGTGTTTGGTCCTTAACAAATAATACAAAAATAAATAAGAGACCAATGTATTTTCAATAGCTACTGCACGTTTATTTTACTGTTACACTAAAAACTGGATGACCATTTATACAACATTGGAGCTTGGATTTGGTCAAGTGGAGAAACCCCAGACAATCTGAGGCAAACTCATCTGGTCATTAGGCGTACAGCTGAGACCCATCAAACGTGGAAAAAGAGCTTCAGTACTTAATTATCTCATTTCAGCTACCGACATTAATCTGCTCTGCTTGTCTTGTTCAGGAGAACATTCAGGTTGTTTTTTTTTAAACTATAACATAATATTGATTCCAGATATTTCAACGAGTCAGCATGTGTTCTGCAGTATTCCGCCAGCTGTGTCCAACTCACTTTGAAGGAGTGTTCATCACAGATTGGATTGGCTTACTCAGCATCTCAGTTAATAAACCATTAACTGAAATTCACAGGCTGTGGCCACTGTGGGCTGCACGGAACGTTTTTTCACATCACGCAAACCAGCATGCAACCACCCGCTCTGAAACTGTTTCATATTGTTCCGTTTATATATTCTTAGAGACTTACATCTTTGCCAACGAGATCCTCTTGATTTTCTACGATGCCCCACGGAGCAATGCCAATGGTGCAGATCTTCCCCCTTGACTTGGAGGCGTGGTCTTTCAATGCATCACCGACATGCCGTATGACTCCTGTGTGTGTGTGCAGAAATGTTTAAGAGTGTTCGTGAGAAGGACGGAGACACAGATAACAAAATCTGTTTTTGTCACTATCAATACACAGTGTAAACTTAGATAATGTTACAATCTGCTGTTAAAAGATAAACAAGGTCTATGAGGTGCAGGGTAAGGGCAGCAGGGGTTGGTGCGGAAGCCGATTTGAATATACTCACACACACACAAGCACACAAATACACACAAATGCACGCACAGCTTCAAACACAGACGGATCGTAGCTTCAGGCCTCTAGTTGTTGTCCTCAGGGAAGCAGCAGTCAGACCTGGAGGCCATCTTGTACCATCTCTCCTGCTGACATTCCTTCTTTCTCTACCTCCATTATTCAGGCCTTCCTCTCCCTCTTTCTTGCCTTTGAACCCATTGTGTCACTAAATCTTACTTTTATCTTATTCTTTATTAAAGTGTGAGCCCTCTACTGCATCCAACGGTGTATCATTTATTTCCATCTGTCTCATCTCGCCTCCCATCTTTGTTCTTATTTAAAGCCTGCTATATTTAATTTAGGTAAAAATGCTTTTCTTTTTGTAAACATGGAAACAATACAAGAACAATACAAACAGTGAACAAACAAAGTGACACAGCATTGAAAAGAAGTCCAAAGGTAAAACTAAGAAACAAATATCTGGTCCATTCCATTCCCATAAGCCATGTGCTCTCAATCTGTCAGCTAGAGAGAACCCTAAAGAGCCCCCCCCCAGTGTCTCAAACACTGTTACCCAATCATCTTGTTGCTGTCAGACGCTGACCCTGTTTCTGTCTGGACTTTACACTTCACCTAATATGCTCAAGATCCAGTCCATTGAGCTCCTCATACAGTAAATCCTGCCCCAGGCCAAATTCATCCAGCTACTCAGTACCTCTGAAAAGAGATATCCTGAGTCTTAAGGTGATCTTCTCCACAACCGTGATTCTTCAATACTCTTAACAGGGGAAATCCTGTTTCTTTAAGTGGAATACCCCTCATTGAAAAGTATATACAGTATTCATGATAAGCTCTTATTGTTCAGTCACTTTTTGTTTCATTGGCTTTAAGCAATAAAATAATCAGTCTAGACTGCCTGAGAGCTATTCTTCACCTGTCTGCTCCAACTATAAGTGTCTGTAAGTATAAGTGAGTGCTCTTAATATACTTAATAAAATAACCCCTTGGCAGTGATCCAGTGGTTCGACATCTTAACAGCCCTGAGGGTTTTCACAAATGGATATTTAATAGTTGATATTGTAATACACTCATCATACTCCTAGCACAAGTGCGTAGCCACTTATTTAGCATTAAAAGTGAGGCAGCACATTGCTGATAAAATATCTTAATAAAATATCTTTTACAGGGCACAGAAATATTTGCACAAACATGCAAACTTTTCACTGTAGTACAGGTTGTTCTGCAGTAGTTCTCAAGACGAGCTGCGTGTACGTCCTGTACTTCACCTGTGTTCACTCCGCCGGTGAAGATCCAGGCTCCTGTTGTCATGGCAGCCTTAATGAGCCCTTTCCCAAAGACCTGTTTGAGTTTGGGCTGCAATTCAAAGTTCTGCAGGCCCCCGTGGACTGAGATGAGCAGCTTGGGCAGATCCAGCTGCCACTCCTTGGTCATCAGGTGTAGCAGCAGGTCAGGCTTGGTGTCATAAGACACTCGCACGTACTGAAAACAGCGGGAGCATGTGTGAGTGAAGGACAGAGTAGCGCACCGGCATCACGCTCAGTCTGCATGTGCCTTAGACACAAACAGCAACACACGCAGACACATACACTACAGGTTATAAAAGCATGCAATGTGAAACGAATCTGTGAAGGCAAAAATTATGAAATGGAAAAATATCACATGACTCAGCAGACCTGCCGAGTGTCTGGTTTTCATTTTTGAGGCTACAACAGTATTGAACAGATGTTTGCTGTGATTGGAGAACCACATGCATTATAGAGCATCTGTTTATCTATCTAGTCCACCCTCAGACACCCAACCTGACATGTGTCTGGATGAATTATTTAACACTGGGAATAAATCAGACATAATTCAGCAGCCGCATTCATCTGAATCCCCTGAAAGCTCTAGCGTGTGTGATGTGATTCTGTCACTACGGTTAGCATAGATGATGTAAGTATGAATAACATGCACAATCAGACTAAAGTAATTTTGGAACGGATCAATTAATCAGGAACAATTTTATCTGCTGAAGTCTTAAATGCAATAATTACATTGTAATTATATGTAATTACTTAATAATTACACTCATTAGATTGATTTTGTTCTGTCATGATATGATGCATTTTATTGCACATGTGTGATGCCTTTAAATTTGAGTATTACATTGTAAGAGAAGCTTGATCAAAACGCTACACAGAGACTCAAGAGGAGTCTTCATTACAAGTATTTTCATTTGCATTTGGACTACGTATGAAATGTTTTAATTGCCGGAAAACCTTGCCAATCATAAATATATTCAACCATTTTCTCAACGCTGGTATAACTGTGCCATCCAGACCAAGAGCTGCAGTCATCTCAGTCAGCCAAGCGTCTAACACTTATCTTCTCTCAACCTGTGGGCTGTCAAACTACATCAGTTTACTGCAGCTGAGGAAAATTTTACAATCATACTCTTACAGAATACTCAGGACCACTCGGCCTACTCTATCTTTGATCACTGATACATTTCACTCAAATCACACCTCAACATTAACAAAAGGGAGCACTTCCATCTGAGGTCAAAACCTCAGAAGTTTACAGAGAAAACTGATTGTAAAACTGTCAGGTTGTTCTGTTCTTGTTTGCCTTGGGACAAAATGCAACACAGTAGATTTGTTATGAGAGTCACCATGGCTTTGTTGGAGTGTCCTCCTCCCTGGAACTCAATGGTGCCGAATGCATCAGTGGGGCTGAGCTGTGTGTGTTTGCAGATCGACCACTTCTCCGACAGGCTGTCATTCTTAGCCAAACGCTCTGCCTTATCATTCTGACTCGTTGATATGCCCGGGGGCAAGCCCACATGCTGACCTATCAGACGACCACAACAGCACCTGAGAGGAGAAAGTAAAAGTGCATGTAAGGCTACGTTCAAACTACAATGTTGCAAAATACAATATAATTAATCTCATGTGACACAGATTAAATTTTCGGATTTTGCAGATTGGAAACTGAAATATATATTTTTTCCAATCATGTGCCTAAGAAATGAACACAAACAGAAACACACGCATACACTACATGTTATAAAAGTATTAAATTAATTTTATTTAGTACTTTAGTATTTTGTTATTTTAGTTATCCTTAATCGGTTACATGTCTGATCACATGTTTCCACGTTATACTTCACTGCGCAGACCTGCAGAAGAAGAACCTCTCTCCCACAAAACGATATGGCGGTACATCATTGGTTATCAGACACTCATTATGTTTGTTACCCGGCAGAAAATACTTTTTCTATATTAGTTCTGCTGAGGAATTGGCCGTCATGTTTCCCTCAGTCTAACTGTGATTCAATAAATTTGCAGTTACAAAAAACGTTTTAACCGTGTCGGTAATTGCAGATGAGCAATGAGTTCGTGTCTGTTTATGAGGCGTAAGAAATCATAAACTATCTTTTAGAAGGAGTAGATGTCATTTAAAATGTAAATCTAATTTATCAAACTGACTTTTTACAGTTCACTCAGTTCATCTGATAAATTCAATTTTTCGGTCAAACAGTAACTTCACACATCTTACTTTAGTTTATTTAACTTAGTTCACAGAAGAGCTGTCAAAGTTAAATATCAGCCGAAATGAAAAGTCTGCTTTAAGAGTCATACAAAGTCATGAACCCAAATCTGTTAATTTGAGAAATATGTTAACAGAGTCTGGCACCAATAACTCCGATGTGTATTTTTGGATCAATGGGCAGGCAGTGTGAGCAATGTGTGTGATATTAATTGGCTGCATGTGAGGCGTTTCAGGGCAGAGATCAGTCCACACTGATATCAGATATGAGTCACTTCAAACATTACTGTGAACAGTTTAGGCAGAAAGATCAGATCTGGGGGGAGTGAGCAGTAAGACCTATCATGTGAACGTAACATAAGATTGGTATAAAAACATAATCCTTCACAGAAAATAATCTTGAGAAGGCAGAGCCCTAAGAGAAGCTACTGTCGTGTCAAGAGAGAGAGAGAGAGAGAGAGAGAGAGAGAGAGAGAGAGAGAG